TACTTCCTGCTGAAAAGGGACGCTGTGGGTTTCAGGGTGAAGATCTTCTCTCACTACTCTAAAGGGCCCCTTTGGCAGTAGGAAACACATAGACTATTATTGTTGCCAAATTCTTAACTCCTACACCTGTTGCCATTCAGAGAGAGAGAGAGAGAGAGAGTGTGTGTGTGTGTGTGTGAGAGAGAGAGTGTGTATGTGTGTGTGGGGGGAGGGGGTCCCTGCCTTGTGAGTCATTCACTGTTATTTATGAATGCCGATCTAAGTATCATGTTTCTTACAGTTTTGTTTTAAATAGTTTAATTATAAGTTAACTTATACGTCAGTAAAACTTTAAAATTTAATGTAATTGAAGGGATTCCCCCTTCAGCTATTACTCTGTTTGGTAGCAGTGAGACCAGGAAAGAGCTGTTCGACACACCTGGTGTTCTGTTAGCATTCTTTTTCTAAGAGAGTATTGGAAAATGTTTTAGAGTTACATGTTGGAATAAGAGATAAGTGTATATTTTAAGAAAAGCAAATTTCTAGAAAACATGTTGGTTTTTCCTCTTATTAATGTATATTTTAAAATTTGTAATGAATTTAGTGACACTTGAAGTTTTTGTTGTTGTTGTTATAATCAAAATGTTTATGTTTGATGTTTAAGTACCAAATGCAAATATATCCAGGGCGCTCTTAGTGCATTGTCATGGTATGTCTCTCGTTTATCTCTTTGCCGTACTGTGGAGATGAGCGCACCGTGTATTTGATGACAGAAAGACACTATACTGAGCAAGCTTCACACACTCCCTGCAGTAATTGTCACTTACGTCACAAGATGGCATTTGGAGAAGAGTGTGCAAAATAGAATAAAATGCTGCACGGCTTAAAATGGTCAGTGTGGGAAGCAGAATATCTATCCCAACAAAATATTTCAGAACTGGATTTTATTTTATTTTTTTCCCAGTAGACAAGACATTTTTAACGACACATTCCAGCTCACTTGCACCCTGTATATATTTGCATATATCAGTATGCCCCAATAGACTGCCTTGAAATCAGTCACAGGCAGAGGGCGTGGAAGAGGCTGTGACTCATTATGTGCCCTGTGTCCTGCTTTGTAGAAAATTGCTGTGATTCTGCTGCATGTGAAAAAAAAATCAATCTCCTGAACTCTTAAACTTTGCCAGTGTCTGCCATCCATGGTGGTCCAGTGTCCTAAATACTGTACCCCTTCACATGTCCCTTTGAGAGCACCCGGCAGCATGCTGTCTGACAGCCGTCCGTGCATGCCCTGTGATACTCGACACAGTAACACAATGTGGGAACTGGTTGGCTCTGGGTCAGGCGAGGTGTGAATCCAGGCTGGTGTCCTGTTCCGTTGGCTCTGGTGATGGTACACTGTAGGAAGTCAGCTGTTTGATTGCTAACCCCAATCACTTTTCTATTTTCTTCACTTGATTGCTGACAAGTTTAACAAAGTATATGGCTCTTCTTCCTGTCTGGGTAAGAATAAAGGTGTTACATCTGCCTCATCTAATTCCTTCCATTGCATGTTTGTTATCTGTTCATTCCATTGCACTGCACTTCTTTTAATGAAAAATAAAAAGAGAGAGTGTGGGTTTAGCCTTTTACAACATGCAGAATCCAAAACGGTTTGCTGTGTTTTGACAGTTGTCAGAACAGTAACCTTCAGCTCCACAGAAGTGGTGTTTGAGGGATTTTTTCCCCCCCTTTCTTAGTCTCTGTGAAGCACTTTGCCCAAATGAGAAAGGTCTCTCTGCTTTGGCTTGGTTTTTGCTCCTCTGTCCGACGTCCTGCTGTGGATTCTGTGAGCCCTGTCGCCTGTTCTGGGGCCCGGGCGGGCCACTGCGCTGCACCCGGTGCACGTGGCCAGCCCCGCTGTCTGTGCTGTGGTGGCTTCACTAACGCTCCCGGTTTCGCTGCCGTATAACCAGTCTAACTTTTGCTTCTATCCCATTTCACTCATGTTGCAGGAACCAAGAGGGGTTGGGACCCATAGTTCATGATCGAAAATCTCAGACATTGCCTGTTTCCCGTAACAGAACAGGAATGATGCATGCCAGAGTGCAGCAGCTGGGCAGCCTGGATAACTCTCTCACTTTTAACCACAGTAAGTCCCATGACAAACACGGTAACTGCAGCATCTCAGCAGACTCCTGCGCGGGCTGAGCCCCAGGCCGCACCAGACCACGCCACCAACTCAATTTCTCTTCCAGCTTGAAACAAGTAGGGAGAAGAGCTCCTGGCACCCCATCCTTGGAGGAGAGGCCTCAGCACTCGGGAGTGACGCAGTGTGGAGCCTGGTCAACTACGGCACCAAACCTTCACGTTCTAGACCCACTGCCCCATTCCCTCTGCTTGGTGTCTTAAGACAAAATCTGCAGATTGGATAGCCAAGCGTTCTCTAGTATTTTACTATTTGGATTCTTTATGGCCAGACTACCTTTAAAATGTTTTACTTTTTCAATGTATTGGTTTACGCGTTGATGTCCCGCTCTTCTTGGAACTGCTGTGCCCATCTGACCCACGTTCCCCTCCGATGGCATGCATGTAGTTGACCAGGCGTCCACGTTCTGCCCCTCCTGCTCGCAATGTTTGTGACTCCTTAAACGACTGTCAAAATGTAACGCCCGTAAATCGATTTGTGAGGGTGTGGTGAAGTGTCCAATAACAAAGTGACTTTTTCTGTGTTTTCAGTGTGAGAAAAATATCAAGTGTGCTTGGAATTTCTGTAGACAATGGTAAGATTTAATCAGGTTGAAGTCTGCTTACGAGGCCGCTTCACTTGCAAACCAAGACCTTTCTGTTCATCTTGCCTTCTTAACTTTGGGGCTTTCTAACTTCACAGTAGAAGTTCTGTCAAAATGTAAGAGCGTATTATTAACTTAACTTTGGTCAATCACTATTGTGTGCTCTTCCTGGGAATGTGTTTCATATTCTTAATTATTACACCATCTTTCCCAAATAATATCAGCCATGCAGCTTGTTAAAAACTAATATGGCTATTGATAAAAGAAACCCCATTTCTCTTGGTGGTCTGTTCCTTGAATCATTCCATCTCCTTTCCAACCATGATATTCAGAGTTATTGTTTTATCTAAAACATTCTTTGTTCTCATTGCAAGAACTGTTTTTAATATGTGCCTATTAATATCATTTCATTATGTCTGTTGGTAAGAATTCCATTCACTTCACTGTGACTTTCATATCTTCTTCTGAAACCAGGCTAAGAGTGCAGTTAATATTCCCATGCCTTCTATCCATAAGAATTCAGAGAAGGTGGAGAAAACAGGATCTAGCAACTTCCCACTGTCACCCCAGCAAACTCAAATGAATTGGTCTTTTCTCCTTCCGTATGATTGTAGGCTCATGGAAGTCAGGATTATGGCCATCTGCCGCACACTGAGTTGTTGTTGTTGTTGTTGTTATGTGCCGTTTGCAACCCATAGCGACCCTATGTACAACAGCCCTAAACCCTGCCCTATCCTGTGCCAATCTCACTGCCTCTGACACACCATCCCAATTACCCCAGTCACTGAATCAATCCACCTCATAGGAAAATTAAAAATTGTTAAGAAAGAAATGGAACGCATAAATATTGACATACTAGGCATTGGAGAGATGAGATGGACTGGCATGGGGCATTTTGAGTCAGATGATCATATATTATTCTGGAGACGAAAAGGTGAGGAAAAATGGAGTTGCTTTTATAGTTGCACACTGAGTTAGCAATCTTAAAATACTAGTTCAGGCTGCTTTACTTAGATGGAACATGTACTTCAGTAGCTCAGTTAAGCCACCAGGGTTCACTTTTCCCAGCATCTTGTCTGTTAAGGGCTTTCTCTAGCCCTGAAGACAAGGATGGAAATAAACAAACTAGAAAGTTCTGTTCTATTTCATTTTCTCTTTAGCCTCCAGAAACTAAATCTTCAATAATACACACAGCTGGTAGGCTGAATCTGGTAGACTGCTTTATCTAGATAGTTTATATTTAAAAAAAAAAAAAAGAAAAACTAAACCAGTTACTGTGAAATCAGTTTCAACTCCTGGTGACCCCTCAAAGAGTAAAACCATACGCTGTTTTCAGCGGCTGCTTTTTTGTTTTGTTTTGTTTTGTTTTGTTTTCAGAAGACAATCACTTTCTTCCAAATGCATGAGGTTATTTCACCGTCAGTTAAAAGAAATGCTTATATTTTAAGGCACATTTTTTAATATCATAAGCCAGCAAAGGCACCACCTTAAAAATAAAAACAGCTCTCATCTTTTAAGAAATGCAGAAAACAAAGTGAGTGATCAGCACGTGAATAAACAGCCTTCGCCAGCTGAGTCCCACTGCAGTGCAGATGGATCTGGTGGTGGAGGTTCGAGTTGGAGGGGAGAGAAGGCTCCCGGACTGCGCTGCTGCCAGAAGCCGTACTGTCAGCGTGGTTGATTTCCGTTCTCTCTTCCTGCCGCCCACAGAGAGCCCGTCCCTGCAGCCTCTCTACTCTTCCGTCCTATCGTTTTTTGCCTGAGTCTGTTTCAGTGACACGCCATCCTCACATTTCTCTTTCTGCTTTACGAGTGACAGTGGGTAGAGGACTCTCCCAGCCTTTGCCTGTGTTCTGACATTTCCTGCTCATCCCAGCTTGGTTCTGATGCCTCCCGAGTCCGGCTCACAAGTGAGCTAGAACTCCGTCTTCCTGACTATCTCTTACTCTGAGTCTGTGTTCAGATCACTTCAGCATTTCCCTCTATTAGCATATATCTTGGTCCAAGCCACAGACAGAGGGGAGTGTATACTGTATGTATACATGTTGATGGGCGTGTGAACGTGTTTATAGGCGTACACTGTAGCTACATCTGTAGCTATGTACTTTATGGGGAATTTGTAGACTTTTTTGTCCTCCTCCCCCCAAAAAAGAAACCTATCTAACAAAGAACACAATACCTTCCATTATACCAACCAACAGGACATGGGGCCAATATGTGAGGCTTGCCAGGGGTCTTCAAAGTCAAAAACAAATTTATATGCAGGGAGAAGAGAAATAGGAAGCATTCCTGTAGGAAATAGCCAGCTCAGTAACTCATTGCATTCAAGTTGGAACCAACTCATAGCTGCCCCTCCAGCGAGCCTTCAGGGGCTGTAAATCTCATACGGAGAGATTGCCTGTCTCTCTTCCCCAAGCCACTGATGGATCGCAACCACCAGAAACACTCAGTCTTTAGGTGAGCAGTTCCACCCCTGCAGACCGACCACCAGAGCCCTACACCCCTGGGCAGTGACCCTAACAGAGGACACCTGTCCTTCAGTAGCATTGGCGAATACTAGAGTAGCCGCCCCTGATGTATGGTTTCACTTTTCATGGGCCAGTTACCTGTGGTCATCTTAGAACCAGAAATAGTAGCCTCCCGCTCTGGTCACAATGCCTGCGTCGCTTGCCTCGCTCACTTCATCTCACCTAACTTTAATTACAATCTATTGTTAAAATCGTGCTAATGTGAAACCTGTACTTGGACCAAGAGGCAGTCATCAGAACAGAGCAGGGCAACACTGAATGGTTCAAAATTGGGAAGGGTATGCGCCAGGGATGTGTCCTATCTCCATACCTTTTCAACCTGTATGCAGAGCAGATTATCCGAGAGGCTGGGCTCTATGAGGAGACGCGTGGCATTAGGATTGGTGGAAGATCTATCAACAATCTGCGTTATGCAGATGACACAACCTTGCTTGCTGAAACTGAGGAGGACCTCATGCACTTACTGCAGAGGGTCAAGGACTGCAGCCTTCAGTATGAACTGAGGCTCAATGTCAAGAAGACAAAGATTCTCACCACTGGACCAATTGGTAGCATCAGGATGGATGGCGAAGAGATTGAGATTGAGATTGTTCACAGCTTCAGTTTGCTCAGCTCCACAGTCAACACTCTTGGCACCAGCAGCCAGGAAATCAAAAAACGTATTGCGATGGGAAAGTCTGCTGTTAGGGACCTCTCTAAAGTACTCAAGAGCAATGGTGTCTCTTTGGAGACGAAGGTGCGCCTGATACAGGCCGTGGTCTTTGCAATCACTTGTTATGCATCAGAGAGCTGGACAATGACTAGGGAGAACAGAAGGAGAATTGACACCTTTGCACTGTGGTGCTCGAGAAGAGTATTGAATGTACCATGGACTGCCAAGAAAACAAACAGATTCATCGTAGAGAGGGTTAAACCAGGCTACTCCTTGGAGGCAAAGATTCTGGGGCTTCGTCTGTCATACTTTGGACATGTTGCAAGGAGAGATAGGTCTTTGGAGAGGGACATCATGCTGGGTAGAGTAGAGGGACAGCGCAGGAGGGGAAGACCCTCTATGAGGTGGATTGATTCAGTGACTGGGGTTATCGGGATGGGTGTGTCAGAGGCAATGTGATTGGCACAGGATAGAGCAGGGTTTAGGGCTGTTGTACATAGGGTCGCTGTGAGTCGCAAACGACTTGACAGCACATAACAACAACAACAATTGTTAAAATTGTTCTATTTTGTTATTAGCTGTTGCTGCGACTCTGTTATGGTGACTAGCATTTTCGCATAGCTTTGAATATGTAAGAAGCATAGTGTATATAGCATATATCAAAAACATAAGTATATGGATTTCAGTACTGTCTGCAGTTTCAGGTGTCCGTTGGGTATCTTGGACCATGTTCTCAGAAATTCTGGGACCACTGTACTTAATTTTTTCCACTTGCTGATTCTTTGTCATGGGAGGAAAGGCTTTGCCAGGCAGCAGAGGACTGCAAGGAACACACCCCGCTGCGGGGCCTGTTTACCCAAACAACCTATAAAAACCCTCTCACTCTACTGTTGTTGTGAGAGTCAGAACCGACTCATAGCTGACCCTCCAAGCAAAGTTGCAGGGGCTGTTAAGCACAAGGGAGGACATAGCCTATCTTTCTCCAGTGAAGCAGCTGGTGTGTTTGAACTACTAGCCTTTCTGTTGGTAAAAAAGTTCCTTACCATTAAGTCACTAAAGCAACTCAACCTATTAAACTCTCAACCTGGTAAACCAGTTGAGACTTGCCAGTCCCCTTGTGAACAGGCTAACACACTCCACTGCATATTTCCACTCATCTATATAAGAAAGTCAGACAGTG